GCTCACAGCAACCTCCAACTCCTGGGCTCAAGCAAGTCTCCTGCCTCTGCCTCCCAAGTAGCTGGGACTACAGGCGCCCGCCACAACGCCTGGCCATTTTTTGCTTGCAGCCATCATTGTTGTTTGGCGGGCTTGGGCTGGGGATTCGAACCCGCCACCTTAGGTGTATGTGGCTGGCGCCTTAGCTGCTTGAGCCACAGGCGCCAAGCCTCTTCATGAAAGTTTGCAGGCTCACTTGAAGGTAGGGTAAAACCTCAGATTCATTGGCATTCTCAACACGTAGTAAAAACCTATAATCCATGCCTGTTATTGTAAACACGTTATTCTCTAATAGTAAAATATTCAGAAGCTGAGGAGAGGTTCAGCCAACATTTTCTCCTGCCATAATCAATCCTTTCCTCATCTAGTACTGTATTATAACCTTCACATTAAATCTAAGACAAAACTATCCAGATGGGCTATAAATTTCCTCAACTCCCTGTTCTGATGGTCAACAGATATTTTGCTACAAGGTGCATTTACTTGTTCTAAATGAAATACCAACTACCACCTCAGTGGTAGAATAAATCTGAGCATTCATCTTGCTAAAGATGTTTGGATCCTCAGAGACATGATTAAGATCATTAGCATTAAGCATTTTTTATAGTTTACCAGCCAGGGGTGATGCTGCATGCCTGGAATCCTAACACTTTGGGAGACTGAGGTGGGAAGATTGCTTGAGGCCACGAGTTTGAGACCAGCCTGAGCAAGACTGAGAACCTTGCTAAAAGAGAAAAATTAGCTGGGCCTGGTGGTGCATGTACCTCTAATCTCAGCTACTTGGCATGCTGAGGCAGGAGGATGACTCAAGCCCAGGAGTTTGAGGTTGCAGTGAGCTAGGATGATGCCACTGCACACTAGCCCAGGAGACAGAGGAAGACTCCGTCTCAGGGGGGAAAAAAACAAAACATTTTCTGAATGGAAGGCCAAATTGGCAGGTTACAGTTGGTTATTTTAAAAACAAAGGAAAGTTCAGCAGCAACTGCCACAAAGTCTGAACCGGTGATTACATCTCAATCATTTAGTAAATTTTAAATAGAGGTTAACTTTTGGAGGAGAAAAGGAGGAAAAATATTAATCATATGTAGTTTTGACGTTTTAAAACAAATTTTTCATGCAAAGAATTTAAGTGTATTCACTCACATCACTTCCTTTTATTTATTTATTTATTTTTAACATATTCCTGGGGTAAATACATCTGTTTTAACTGCCTTACTTACAGTTTGCTAGCTTGGATCCCAAGTCTTCTACTGATTGCATGCTGTGAATCTCAAATCCTTCAGGGTACTCCGCTTTATTGATAGTCTTATTGTCCACATAAATGATATGTTTCACACAATTGATATCTAACAATGCAGTCTGTTGAGCACAAAGAAAAGCCCCAGCTATTAAATTTGGCCCTAAAACAAACATTCACTTGTTGGACATCGTACTCCCACCAGATAATACTGTCACAAATTGAAAGAAAATGTTATATAATTACCTTTAGTTTACTTTCCAGAAGTTCAACACTAGTAATCAAATAGGCAGCCTCAGATTCATTTAGTCCATGAACCACAGCTTCTTTGCCAAGCGTAGCATATAAAGTCACAACTACATAATAAAAGGAAGCACAAAATTAAATGACAAGCATTTATTAGAAATATATATTATGTAAGCCAGTCTTCAATGACTTACAGACATAAAGGCATTTTAGTATTTACTTTGATTTCATAGTCTCTACTATTATCCATCAGCCTTGCTTCAAATTCTCTGGCAACTCAAAATTTTCCTTAAAAATTTCCAAGACTCTAACTTTCTAAACTTGAAGAAACCCAGAAATACTGCCATTGCCACAACTAGCCAAAAATCAGTCAATTAAGATGCTCAAGGCTGGGCAGCACCTGTGGCTCAGTGGGTAGGGGCCAGTCCCATATACCACGGGTGGCAGGTTCGAACCTGACCTGGCCAAACTGCAACAACAACAAAAAACAGCCAGGCATTGTGGTGGGCACTTGTAGTCCCAGCTGCTCAGAAGGCTGAGGGAAGAGAATTGCCTAAGTCCAGGAGTTGGAGGTTGCTGTGAGCTGTGACGCCACAGCACTCTACCGAGGGTGATAAAGTGAGCCTCTATCTCTTAAAAAAAAAAAAAAAAAGATGCTCAAGGGTAACAGGTCCTGGCTGAACTGTTAATTCAGATCAAAGCTAGCCCAGCTAGAGCTCCCTACTAGCACACACCTTCATTGGTCACAGCCCAAGAGAACGGATATGTCCTTACAAATTTTAAGGTACTCAAGTCTGAAGATTGGCCACAATTAAAGTCCTTACTCCCTTTAAGAAGCTTTTATAGTGGGTGCAACGTCAAATTGGTTGGTGACCTTTACACCTTAAATGGAGGAGTCAAGGAGATCTACTCCGTAGGAGACATCAGATAAAGATAACATAAACTGAAACCAAGATCAGTTAGAATCAAAGCACATCTGCTAGAATAGACTTGGAAATTCAGCTCTAGACTGGTAACCAGAAACAGCAACATAGTTAAAAAGAACCACTTTTCAAAAGCTGTTGATTGCTGAAAGCAGGGAGGGGCAGTGATGGGTAGTAAGGGAAGGGATCATTTTCATACTATCTATCTTGGGGGTTTTTTGTTTTGTTTATTTGTTTGTTTTTTAGACAAGAGTCTTAAGCTGTTGCCCTGGATAGAGAGTGCCATGGCATCACAGCTCACAGCAACCTCAAACTCTTAGGCTTAAGAGATTCTCTTGCCTCAGCCTCCCAAGTAACTGGGACTACAGACACCCACCACAGCATCTAGCTATTTTTTTGTTTGTTTTTGCCATTGTTGTTTAGCAGGCTCAGGCTGGATTTGAACCCTCCAGCCTTGGCATTTGTGGCCAGTGCTCTACCCACTTAGCTACAGGTACCGCCCACTATCTATCTTTGTTTAAAATGCAAACTCTTTTTTTTTTTTTTTTTTAAGACAGAGCCTCAAGCTGTCTCCCTGGGTAGACTGCTATGGCATCACAGCTCACAGCAACCTCCAACTCCTGGGCTCAAGTCTCCCAAGTAGCTGGGACCATAGGCACCCACCGCAATGCCTGGCTATTTTTTGGTTGCAGCCATCGTTGTTTGGGCAGGCCCGGGCTGGATTTGAACCCGCCACCTTAGGTGTATGTGGCTGGTGCCTTAGCCACTTGAGCCACAGGCGCCGAGCCTGAAATGCAAACTCTTGATTCCTAAACTAAATCTATAGTGTTCCACTTCATTCAGTAAATAATTCAGTCCTTAGTATGTGACAATGCATTGTTCAGGATTCAATTTTTAATTTCTCACACAATGGAAAAAAATAAATACTTTGGAATATACTCAATCTGACTTGCTGTCTAACATATACAATGTAAATTCAAGCTATCATACACTCATTTCACATGTAAAGTGGGATAAGTCAAACAAGGGGTCTCAAAGTGAAACAATGAACTAGAATTATCCTTCTCAATGATTTTCATTGTTTTAATCATTATTTTGTCTATTACCTCCAAAACATATCCTAAGCCCCAAATCTTTCAGGTATAACTCATTTCTACTTGAAAAGTAAAATTCTAAATAATATTCATTAAGCTGCTAATTCCCAGGCCAGCTCTGATTAGTTACCATATTTAACAGCAGTTACTGAATATATTTTAATCACATGGCATACTATTTTACAGACATAATTTATGCAGAAAATGGCTAAAGAACACCTACTTTAAAAACAGGAGCATCTCAGAACAAGTAAGCTCCCTTCTCCCTCTCCAAAAACACAAGGCACTTACGTGGAAAGTTGTACTTAAAGCAAGTCTGTGCTGCAATCATCCACTCGGCCCTGGTTTCGCAGAAAATGGCAATGGTGTTCTTTGGTTTCAGTCCCAGTGCAGTGAGTCCACCACCAAAGTTATTCACTCTGCGGTTCACTTCAAGATAGTTCATCCATTTATAATTTCCAAGAATTAACTGTGAAAGTGAGACATTGTCCAGTATTAGTATATTTATTTACACAAGCAATTAAAATACTGTGTATATTAGTGTATTTATTTACACAAGCAATTAAAATACTATCTGAAGTATAGAACTCTAAAATCTTAAGTGAATACAGAGAAGCTATGAACACCTTCTGAGACTTAGTCACACAGCACTAGAATAGAATGCCTGCATATTTAAAATGCACTTGACTTATAATAAAACCAAATGTGCCTTCCTCTTAAAAAAAATGAAAAGCAGAAAATGCTTTACCTTCTTAAACACTTTTCCATTGGGCTGCATTTCATTTTCTTCACTTAGGATTTCCCTGGTCCCAAGGCTGTCCTTCTTCCCAAATTTGGATACGGCATGGTCAAATAATTTATCCAGAGTGTCTGCTCCAGGGATGTCTATGACAGCTAGCGAGTCGAAGTGTGTGACAGAGCGATATGGACTTCCAGGTTTGTCTGAAGTGGGTTTAGCTTTTATTCTCTTTGCCATAGCGTTTTTCTTCTTGGCATTGGTAAGAAAATACCATGGAATAAATATAAGGGCACTGTATATTGTTATTAATAAGTGGACAGGCAGCAAAAAAATGGTGAGCACATTTAGCTTAAGTTTCATAGTGGAAAGGCTTCTAAAATGGTGCGTATGTCTTGTTATTCTTTGGCTTCTGAAAGCCTTATTTTGCTGAAGAAGGCAATAATGGAAGCAGCAGTAAGAGTAGCAGTATAGCGAAGGCAGGTCAATCTTAGCGACACAGATAAGCGTTAGTAATCTTTGGAAGCCGACAATAAAGTACACCTGTAGGTGAAGACAACGAACCAGGCAGAGAGCAAGGGGGAAAAAAAAAGATTATTAACGAGTTGATAGCACAATTGATTTAAATACTCAGGTCTTTATTAGTTTATATAATTGATTTGACACAGAAAGCTGAAATAACTGGTCTGAAAATCTGGCATTTTTAATCATTACTGACACAAATGTTGTAGAGTACACCAACTCTGGACTTGAATTTTTTCTAGGTTTCTAGATGGACTGGCCTTCCACATGTCAGTCAGCTGAATAACACCACGTCAATGCTTACACAAACGCCCAAATATGGCATGTAAGTTTGGCCAAGGTTGGGGAGAATAGGGTGTGTCAATAACGAGGTTTCTCTTAAATATGTATCTATAAACTGGACATCCTTAAATCGCATTAGGTTTTATACCCCAAAGTGTGGGGAACCTACCAACTTAGGTTTATTATTTCTCTCAGATCAACCCAGAAACATCATTCTGCGTTCTTCATTAAGGTAAATTTGTAGGCTGGGTGCATGACTCATGCCTTTTATCATAGTACTTTGGGAGGCCAAGACAGGAGGATGGCTTGAGGTTAAGAGTTCAAGACCAGCCTGGGCAACATAGCAAGACTCCATTTCTATAGAAAATATTTAAAAATTAGCTAAGGGTAGTGGTGCACACCTATAGTCCTAGCCACTTGGGAGGCTGAGGCAGGACGATCACTTGAGCCCAGAAGTTCAAGCTATGATCAATCATACCAATTGCACTCTAGCCTGGGCAACAGAGCAAGACCATGTCTGAAAAAAATAGGTAAATTTCAGAGGTAATATTATGCACTAGCTGCTATTCCCAAAATGAATGCAATACAATGGTAAAATCATTTCTTAAGAGTCCATTTCATGCTCAAAATTGCACCAGTTGCCTGGAGGAATAGTAAAAGACTGAAGTAGTATTAAGTCCTAGTCCTTGCCCATTCTGAGTTAATGTTTATAAGCCAATTAGCACACAAGATATAGTACTGTTCAAACTGCTGGGAGATGGGGACAGAGAGAACAGCTAAACCATTTCTTCAAGTAAAAACTCACATGGGCAGCGCCTGTGGCTCAGTGGGTAGGGCACCAGCCCCATATACCAAGGGTGGCAGGTTCGAACCCGGCCCCAGCCAAACAGCAACAAAAAAATAGCCGGGCATTGTGGTGGGCACCTGAGTAGTAGTCCCAGCTACTCAGGAGGCTGAGGCAAGAGAATCGCCTGAGCCCAGGACCTGTGACACCACGGCACTCTACGGAGGACAATAAAGTGAGACTCTAAAAAAAAAAAAGCCCATACAGCTGCCCATATATGTCAGTAAAGTGGAACTGCTCTGGCTGAAACAAAGATGAGGGAAGCCCAGAGCCCCACCCTGGAATTCCTGGAACCCCAATTCCCCAAGTGATCACTAAAGAATGTCCACTGAGAAGCCCAATGGTGATACATAACAAAATGCTAGCCCGTGCAGTATAAGCAAGAAATGCAAAAAGAGTTCAGAGGAAGTGCCAAGTGGCCAAGAGTACTCAGGAGAGGCTTTGCAGAGATTAGAGTTAAGGTGGGCCTCATGTGGGCGCCTGGAAATGAAGGAAGAATGGAGGGCATTCCAGGCTGAGGAAGCACATCAAGAAAGAGACAAAGATGGGAAGGAAAGGGCTTTGGGAGGGCAGGTTGTACCAAAAGCAAGGACACCGGGCACAGGTTGGCTATGGGAGTTACAGGATCTAAAAAATCAGGCCAACTATTTTTGACTTGAATAGACAGAAAATGGAGGCTACTGCAGGTCAGAAAAACAGTGCCAATGGAAAGGAACTGAAGAAACAGCCGTGGGGATGATAATATCTCTCAGGCTGTGCCCCTTCAGCTGAGAAAGCTGTTTTGGTAAGTGCTAGCATATTTCAACTGTAAAAATTAAAATATTAGCTCATTTTGAAGAGACAAACTAAAGCCTATCTTTCTCCAACTCTTGTGGAAACAGAGTGACAGATATAATTCCACTGACCCCAGGGTATAAATTGTTTTTATACCAATTACTACCAAATGGTAGCTTAATCCTGCCTGTGTCTTTGTTCCTGTCCTTCAGCTAAGTGCTGTGAAGTGAGCAAGAAACCAGAAGTCACTGGGTTTACGTCCTCATTTCTGCTGCTAACTGGCTGTGTGACCTTGAACAAATCATCTCCCTGAGTCTGAGAGTCATAGATGATAATCTACCTACACACAATTTTTAAAAATAATTTCTTATACTGGTAATATAAAGGAGTACCAAAAAATTACTTTGAAATAAAAAATACTTATTTCAATAGATAAATTCATAAGGACAACATTAGAAAATAAAAAAGCATGTTTTTAAACTTATAAAATGCCTCTAAGGAGTAAAAGGGATCCGACTGTCAACCGAGAAATTACCAGACTTGGAACTGAAGATATATAAAAGAGTAGAAAATAGCTTCTGAAGGATTTATAATTTAGATTAATTTAAACAGCATTGCAGGGTGTTTCTTTGTTATCCATAATACCATATGCATTTAATGTTTTGTACATTTTTGCCTTTAAGCCTTGGGGGAAGGAAAATGCCTTCTATGTGAGCTTCATAGTGCCTGTACAGAGATACACACTCACACATGGGTGCACGCGCACACTCGAAGAACATTCAGGGGAGGAGAAACCAGAGAGACCATTTAGTCCAGAGGTTTTCGAATTCTTTCTGGTGGTGGTGAGGGGGACATGGGTCATCCATTTAAATAAAATTTTATATGCATATAAAAAGAGAAGTATAAATGAAAGCATAAAAATAGAGCTACTCTGACAGGGGAGGCTGTGATAGACTCTGAAGGGACCCCCTTGGAACCTCCGATTCAGATGAACATTTGAACCACAGATATTATCGGCTCTGTCACCTTAATAGAGAAGCAAACAAGTTACAGAGCATGAATTGAGCACCCAGTCCTCTTTCAAGCGTGCTGGCCAAGCCTCTGCCCAGTTTTACCTATCATTTTAAACTCCTTCCTTGGGCAGCACCTGTGGCTCAAGGAGTAGGGTGCCAGCCTCATACACCAGGGGTGGCAAGTTCAAGCCCAGCCCCAGCCAAAACTGCAAAAAGTAAAATTAAATTTATAAATAAATAAATAAACTCATCAGAGGTTTTCTAGGCTTACACTAAGCCTATTGATGATTTCACTTCCAAAAAGATTTGAACATTTCCTTTCACTTAAGAAGGAGAATTGGTTGGGCAGCGCCTGTAGCCCAGTGGGTAGGGCGCTGGCCCCATATAACGAGGGTGGCGTGTTCAAACCCGGCCCCGGCCACACTACAACAAAAAAATAGCCAGGCGTTATGGTGGGCACCTGTAGTCTCAGCTACTCAGGAGGCTGAGGCAAGAGAATCCTCTAGGCCCAGGAGTTGGAGGTTGCTGTGAGCTGTGTGATGCCACAGCACTCCAATAAAGTCAAACTCTGTCTCTACAAAAAAAAAAAAAAAAAAAAGAAGAAGAAGAAGAAGAATTTGTGTGTAAGGATATGGTGCTGAGCACATAATACAAAGCCTCTGTACATGTGGACATGGTTTATTCCTAGGTGTGGCAGGGAGCAGACAGAGCAGCTCACAAAGAAATAAGAGGCGGAATATAAGTCCCATAAGAGAAGCAAGAACAAAATACTAAAGGTATTCAAAAAGAAGGGATGCTTGTGCTCAGTTTGGGTGGGAAAAGAAAAAGATTAGGAAGGAAGTACAACCATCAAGAAAGGTTTCACAGAAAATAGTACCTGAGGCCAGGCATGGTGGCTTGTACCTGTAATCCGTGCACTCTGGGAGGCTGAGGCAGATGGGTTGCTTGAGCTTAGGAGTTTCAGATCAGCCTAAGCAAAGTGAGACCCCCATCTCTACTAAAAATAGAAAACCTAGCCAGAAGTTGTGGAGGGTGCCTATAGTCCCAACTACTGGGGAGGCTGAGGCAGGAAAACTGCTTGAACCTAGGAGTTTGAGGCTGCTGTGAGCTAAGCTAAAGCCATGGTACTCTAGCCTGGGCAAGTGAGCAAGACTGTTTCAGAAGAAAAAATACAGGCATGGTGGCTCACGCCTGTAATCCCAGCACTCCAGGAGGCCGAGACAGGTGGATTGTTCCGTGCTCACGAGTTGGAGACGACCAGCCTGAGCAAAAGCGAGACCCCGTCTCTACCAAAAGAAACAGAAAAACTAAGGCAAGAGGATCTCCTGAGCCCGAGTTTAAGGTTACTGTAAGCTATGATGCCACAGCACTCTACCCAGGGTGACAGCTTGAGACTGTCTCAAAAAGAAAAAAAAAAAAAAAAAAAAAAAAAAAAAAAAAAAACAAAAGAATTAAAGCAAGCAACGAAAAAAAAAAAAGACAGGCATGAAGGATGAAGATATTTTCAAAAGATGGGGACAAACTAGGAAATAAGAACTCAAGATTAAATACTCTGCTATGGTTCTGAGGGAAAATGAACTGTTGTCTAAAGAAGAGAAAGTCTGACATCCTGGGAGGTAAATGTGCTAAACTGAGTTCAGAGATCTGGGTTCTAACTTCAGTGTCTGCTGTGAAGTTTGACTATGAAAAAGTCTTCATTCCAATAACACCTCTGCAAAGCCTTTTCTAGCCAACCTCTTTTTAAACTCCACACCTAGCACTTTCTATCCTTTCTTACATCATTTTTCTCCTTAGCACTTTTCACTAATACACCGCATGTTTTACTTTTCATGTTTATTCTCTATTTCCACATCAGTACATAAGCTCCATGAGTCTGTCTTTAGATGTCTGCTGCTGAATCCTCAGCAACTGGGCCAGTACCTCCGTGTGTCAGGTGTTCAATAAATTTGCTGAATGAAATAAGAACATAAGTGGAATTTTTTTCCCCTGAAACGATGCAGTAAAAATGTATGCAAATCCAATAACCTGAAGGCAGCCGAATTTAGTCATCTTAAAAAAAAAAAAAAAAAACAATTACTTGTTTACGCCAAAGTCCTAGGAAATTCTATACTCTTAAAATCCCTGGTAATTAAAATAAATTTGAACATGATGTTAGTTAGTTGCTTAATAGAAAATGTGAAACTGGAAAAACTGCCTGTTACAC